CATATTCACCACCATCGGCATTAGAAGAAGTTTGGATGCCGGAAGACTTGCCGGTATTCCTGCTGGCACGTCAACAGTTGTCCTTTCTCAGCAGTATTTGAAGTTCGGATACCAGCGAACTTCGTGTTTTCACACAACCCATGCTGCAACCATGGTCATCCTGGTCCAGCACGGGACGGGATGACAAAAGAAGTTTGCCGGCATCCGAACTCCACGTTTTGACGGGAGTGTGACAAACGAAGTCCGCCCCGATCCGAACTTCATTGATTTGCATTTTCTGCATCTAAACAATAAACACCGCCCTCAGGCGGCGTGCAGTCCTCCTGTGTTCGCACTTTGCACATTGTATTGCGCCGACATCCGAACTTCACATATTCACCACCAATGACCCAAGTCGAAGTTCGGATTCCGGCGGACTTGGTGGTTTTCACGGTAGCACGTGAGCAGTTGTCCTTTCTCACCAGTATTTGAAGTTCAGATGTCAGCGAACTTCGTGTTTCAACACAAGTTACACAACCCATGGTGCAACCAAGGTCTTCCAGGTCTAGCACGGAAGGCGAGGACAACAGAAGTTCGCTGACATCCGAACTTCACGTTTTGACGGGGGTGTGACAGAAGAAGTCCGCCCGCATCCGAACTCCAATGGTATGCCTTTTCTGCATCCAAACAATAAACAACGCCCTCAAGTGACGTGCAATCCTCTTGTATTCGCACTTTGCACATTGTAGTGCATCGACATCCGAACTTCATATACTCACCACCAATGCTCCAGGTCGAAGTTCGGATTCCGACGCACTTGGTGGTTTTCATGCTAGCACATCAGCAATTATCCTTTCTCACCAGTATTTGAAATTCGGATGCCAGCGAACCTCGTGTTTCCACACAACCCATGCTGCAACCAGGGTCTTCCTGGTCCAGCACGGGAGGCGAGGATAGAAGTTCGTCGGCATCCGAACTTCGCGTTCTGTCTGTGGGGCCTGAGTGAAGAAGTACTCCGCATCCGAACTTCAATGATTGACCTTTTCTGTATGCGAACAATCGACACCGACAATAGATGACGTGCAGTCTTCCTCTGTTCTCACTTTGCACAGTGCCCAAAAACCTAGAAACGAATTGTAGTCCGTCGGCATCCGAACTTCGCATATTCACCACCGTTGGCAGTGGAAGCAGTTTGGGCTCCATCAGACCAGGCGGTATTCCTGGTAGCACGTCAGCATTTATCCTTTCTCACATGTATTTGAAGTTTGAATGTCAGCGGCCTTCGTGTTTTCACACAACCTATGTTGGAACCAGGGTTCTCCTGGTCCAGCGCAGAAGGGGAGGACAAAATAAGTTTGCTAACATCCGAACTTCACCTGTTTCCTGTGGGGGCTGGCTGAAGAAGCCCGCCTGCATCCGAACTTCAATTATTAGCCTTTTCTTCATACAAAACGATAAACACTGGCCTCAGGGACCGTGCAGTACTACTACGTTCACTCTTTGCACAGTGCCCAAAAACTTGGAAACAGATTGTAGTCCGCCGACATTCGAACTTCGCATATTGAGCGGAGGCCACCAGTCCGCCCGATCGATAGGCCCCTCCTTCCCGGTCGGGCGTATCGACCATCCGTGTTCACCGACATCCGACAATCCCCACACTTCTCGAAAACTCTGTGAAGTTCAGATGTCGGCGAGCTGAGTCAGTGAACTCCGACGACGATGGACTTAAACTTCGGTTTCGGTGCGGGGGACCACGAACTTCGGACAACGCCACCCTACGATTCCCGTTCGACATGCCCATAGTCTAAGTCCACCAGAATCTGGACTTCGCAAATTTTAGTTGCGTCACTGGCGCAGACGCCCTGGTGCCGAATAACTTCAGTCCCGATGTGTTTGTCGCCCGACCACCTACAAGAAGTGTGTCTTCGCGGATTGCCAAAAGCACTCTTAGGGGACCTTGGTGCGGGGTCTGGATCTGTTTGGCGTAGAGTTTCGTGTTGCCTGAACAGATCCGGGGCTCAGTTGCCACAGGGTGTCCGTCGCGAGAGTTTAGCATTCCATGGAGATCCCGGTTGGTGACCCTTCTTGTTGGATCTGGATCTGTTTTGAGCAGAGTTTCGCACTCCACAGACAAAATTCCCCTCCAGTTCCCGCAGATTATCAGTTTTTCGGGCAGTTTTTCGGGATGTTCAATCGCAACTGGGACCAGTTTGGTGGGCCTTCTTGTTGGATCTGGATCTGTTTCGAGCAGAGTTTCGCACTCCAGAAACAGAATTCCCCTCCAGTTCCCGCATGTTATCAGTTGTTCGGGCAATCTTTTGGGATGCTCAATCTCAACTGGGCGAGTTTGGTGGGTCTTCTTCTGGGGTTTGGGGATGTAAACAACGAAGTCTAGCGGAAGCACGCCGTTATCCGTCGACTAGATTGTCCGACGAATTCGTCAAGTTCGTCGGTATCCGAACTTCGCATGAAGGCTAAAGACGAATGTGAAGAAGTGCAGATACCGGCTGACTAGTCAACTGTTTGTGCAGTCTTTCGTCATGTTCATACGCTACTAGAACGAGTTCGGTGTGCCTTCTTGTTGGGTCTACAAACCGGCTCATACTCCGTTATGGGAAGTGTCCGTCGAATTCGTCAAGTTTGCCGGTATCCGAACTTCGTACAAAGCGTGAAGAGGATGTGAAGAAGTGCGGATGCGGGCGAACGTGTCGACTGTTTATGCAGTCTATTGTCATGTTCATACGCTATTGGGGCGAGTTTGGTGTGCCTTCTTGTTGGGTCTGGGTGTGTGAACTGCAGAGTCTAGCAATCGACAAATTGGCTCACACTCCGTAACATCGCACGACGTTATCAGTCTGCGATAATGCCCGGTGAATTTGTCTAGTTCACCGGTATCCGAATTTCGCACAGATGCCTCTTTCCTATCGTGTTGTGGGTGCCGACGAACTTTGATGTGCTTTTGGTGGTGCGTAACATGTGGTTCTGCGGAAACCGGAGTTCTCTAGTGGGGTGAGTTATTTATGTCTTCCGTGTGTTGGGTTGTTTTGGTCTCTTGGACCGGTGCAGACACGATGTCCACATCAAGGGGCGAGGAGCAGCCGACCAGAACCTCGGGCAGGGAATCACGAGCCTCCAAATCGTGGTCCTATCATGCGCATACCAAATAGTTCGTCGATCGGTGCTGCGGGGATAAGTCCAAGTTGACGAAGCCTCCGCGTCGTCCGGTTATATTCCTTGAAGACAAAAAAAGAGGTAGAGTGCTTTGGGCGGTTGCCGGATGGCACCCTGCGAAAAAGGAAAACACGCAACATGATAAGTTGCACACTATTTATAGTTCGAAGGGCGATGTTGTTGCAACTTCCAAAGGGGCGGTCACGGTTTTGTCTTTTGACGGGTTCTAGGGGTTTGGTGTAGGGGTTGTGAAGACCCCTTTCTACCAAGAGCTCGCAGGGGGAGGTGTCGTTTCGGCACAGGAATTCTTCGACTTGGTGGAACAGAAGAACATCGACCTGGAGGAACCCTGCCACGTTCAAGGCGACCAAGAGTTGTAGCTGCCTCTTCAGATGCGCACCGGGTTCGAATCCAGCGGTGCTCCCACAGAAAGGGGAGATTTGGGTTCCGGTTCTTCTTTCCAACTCCACCGGGGCGAGGGCCGTGGTTAATTGGAAGACACTGATGATAACAAACAGGAGCAGACGCGGACTTCGCCGCTTAGGCGGGGAGACCGGTCTGTCCTCGGTGTTCCTGGGGTGGAGGGACACACCCCGGTTCACGACTGGCCGACGACGTCAACGGGGGGGGGTGAGGAGGGTGAACAACAACCTCCGCATAAGAGAAGGGGAGGTCATCATGGAGAGGTTGAGGGTTCTGCAAAGAAAAATAAGGCAAGGACCCCCCAGACGGCGAGAGGAAAAAGGAAGGGAGTTGAGGGGCAAGAGGGCCCATCGGGTCGGAAACGCCAGACGTCGGCGCAGAAACAGCCCCAGTCGGGTGCTGTCGAGCCGAAGGGTCCAATCGACATCGACGCCTCGTACTTCCTTGAATGGAAAGATTGCGTGCGGACAAAGTGGGAGTTCTTCATTAGCCTGTCGAGGCTCATCGGCATCGGTGAGTGGGAACACTCGTACAATCAGCGGTCCATGGATCCCGTCCACACGCAGCTCATCATCGACGCGATGAAGATGACCTTCTCAAAGACCGAGAAGACGTACGAGTTGCCTACCCTTAAGCTGGTGCTGCTAGGGTTAGAAAAACTTGTGAGGGGCATACGAGGAGTTCGTCTGAAGCCAGAGGACTGGAAGGACGAGCTGGCAGGCCAATACTATTATTACACTGTTTCCGGGCAGCACAATGAGGCTGCAGCCAAGACGTTGCTCGGAACCGAAGTCACATTGAGGTACAACTTCGAGAGGTGGCCTGCACGTATGGTTTACTTCTCGGACGAGGAGTTCAAAGGGTATTTTTTGGTCAGCTCGGAGAATTACAGGACTTGAAGGCGCCTCTGAGACAGCTGAAACTATCGATGAAGGACATTCGGTGGATATGGAAGGAAAAGGGTTTCCCAAAAGTTGTGTTGAGGAACCCCAGCGGGAAACAAGCTCAGGTGCAGCAATCAGCTCTGTGCGCAGGCGCTTCACAAGACGCCTTACAACCACTTGTGGATTCTCGCTGATGAGACGGGCGAGGATAGTATTAAGAAGCAGAACGTTGCCCTTCGTTCTTATTTTTCGCTAGTGATGACCGGGAAAAGCGTGTCGGAACTGGGTATGAAATTCTTCGACAAATGGGAGACAGAAAGACTTCTGGCACTCGAGGGAGCAAAGTGGATCACAAAGAAAAAGAGAGTGAAGGACGTCTCGCCTGCCTGGCCCGGCGTGAGCCATATCGAAAACGAGAAGTTGGGGCGAGAGGAGGTCGTCTACAACGTCCCCGTCGACGCGCCCCAAAAGAAAGGCAAGAAGGAGAAAGAGCCTGGCGATTGGTTCGTCCAAGTCACTGAGCCGGATGCGCACTACTGGAACGCTATGGAAGCCCTTACTGACAATGAGAAATGTCGGTTACTCAAGAAGGTCCTCAACTGCGAGGTCGTGCGGGTGTAGACAGGCTCCGCTTCATTGGTGAAGCAAGGGAAGTTGGGAGCCTGGGAGTGCAGGAAGCGGTGCACCTGCTGAAGTGCGATCACATCTTGGTGCGATTATGGAACTACTACCAGTTCAAGCACGAGAACCGGCCGGATACCGACTCGGAACTTGCGTACCCCTTCCTTAAGAAATGGGAGGCAATTTTGGTAGAGTTCGAGAAGCAGGGAATGTATGTCGCGTTGTGGGACGGGAGCACGAAGCTCGTCGGTGACGCCTCGCAGTTCAAGGATTGTCCGTTGTACATGGGGTGCGAGGACGACAAGATGATCAAGGCGATGAAAAAACTCGCCCTCAACAAGTTGTCCGTTAACTGGAGGAACAAGGTCCTCGCCGTGTTGACCGACAGTAGGGCGAAGAGTATGGAGGTCGCGCTTGCCGAAGGCGTGGTGCACGTTCTGTGGAAAGACTCGGGGGATGTGACATCCATTGCCCCGTTTGACGTTGACCCTCTGGAGGCGCTGATGAGGGTCACGCATTTGGAGAAGCGGTTATGACCACCAATTGCCATACATGCGTTCTCGATCTTTGTGAGTCGGTGGACTTCAGACAGTGGACGCCAAAAACTTTCGAGAGTTTGAACTCTCTCCTGGAGCAATTGTTGGTCGTTGCTTCCGTCCCTCTGGAGTGGGACTACTCCTTCATGACCAGCCTGCATCATCTGCCCGTTGTCAAGGCAATCGCAGGGAAGTGGGTCAGGAAGGCGCAGCAAAAAAAAGTTTTCCGGTGGGGAACAACTTGTACTCGGCTGACGACAGCATGTACATTCTCTTCAAAGGTAAGGATTTGCGGGATAATACTTGTGTCGTTTACGATGCTAGGTTATCGGTAGGTGACGCTGCGGTTGTCGGGGCACATCAGAAACTGACCCCGACGTGCTTATCAACGATTCACTTCGACCCTTGCGAGTGGCCGTCGGCCATGCCTAGAAAGGTCTACAAGGAGATGGAGCGGAACCCCACCCTGTTGACCCGTCTGCTGAAATTCGTGTGCAAAAAGGTGGAGGGCATCATGTTCCTTCGGAAGCCACACGCGCGAGTCGTGTGGGAGGTTTTGAAGAGCGGCCGACACGTGGTCGCGCTGAAAGGGAATTCTGAGTTGTTGCAATACACGTTGGAGTTCCTCAAAAGTGAGGTCAACTCTGGAGCCAGCCGCTGCGAGTTCGTTTTGAGGAGCGAGAATCCGATACGCGTTTGGGAACCGTCTACGGACGTGTGGTTCAAGTTGAGCGAGCGGAAGAGGAACAGGATCTACGAGTTCCTGTTTTTGAAAACGCAGCCCAGGAGGAACAACGACGCTGAGTACATGCGCCGCAAGGACCACTTGTTAGCATTGCTGGACAACTACCACGACGCCTCACGCATGAACGCGAAGAACTTCCTCGACCGGTTGGAGTGTTTGTACTTCGTCGAGTCAGAGCAGGTGCTTAAGGTCGAGAGTTATGGTGCCTTGATCTCCACGGACGAGGAGGCGGAGACAGGTGTTGTTTTCGACATTGCTGCGCCTGAGGAGGAGAGCGACACCGAGGACATCGACCATGATTACCACCCTGCTCCGGTGTTTCATGCACCAGGCTCCTCGTCGGCCGCTCCCTCAACAAGCCAGGCCACCCAGATGTCACTTGTGCCCAAGTCCGCCCGGGGTAAGACACCGAGTAAGCTGGCGACGAGACTGACACCTCGGGCTGCCGCCCCGCCTCCGTTGCGTCCCGGGAATTCGGTTCCGCTGCATGATCCTCTTCTCGCATGGATGATAACATTCACTTCGAAGGGCTTGACCACACTTCGTCGAGTGAGGTGGACTGGGGCCATGACATGATTTGGCACCCGGGAACTATCCAATCGGCAATCCAGAAGGGTGAGTGGATCATGGCCCTCATCAACGATCAAGGGTTGTGGGAGCCATACCCGCGCCAGTCCAAGGCCGAGTACCTGGACCTCGCGAGGAGTTCAAGGGTCGATAAAGTGAGGTCTGAAAATTCAAACCTTCAGCCCGCCGACCAGCCATCGATTCCACCGTTGATCGTCTGTTTCAAAAACTTCACGACAAGCAGTGGTTGGAACTCTCGGACGAATTCTACAACCTCGATACGAGCCCTTCGAAGGGACGGGTGGACTGGAAGGTTCCCCCTGCGACGAGGCCACAAGGGAGTTCGGGTTGGGGCCAGGGACGAAAGAGGGGGGGGGCGGAGGGGGGGGGGAAGGAGGGGGGGGAGGCGGAGGAAACCTTGAGGGGACAATAAAGGGAACCACCGCCGAGGTCTGTAGGGGGGGGAGGCGGAGGAAACCTTGAGGGGACAATAAAGGGAACCACCGCCGAGGGACAGGTTTTGCCTCACCAGAAGGCCACGACAACGGAACGCGGTGACGGGGAGGAGGGGGGGAACCTTGCTGGACAGTTGACTGCCAGGTCCGGTAAGGAACCTGCGGCAAAGTCCGCCGGCATCCGAACTACGTCGACCGAGGCACCGGGCGCAAGTGGAGCGCCCACTGACCTCAATACGTCGAAGTCCGCGAGGATCCGGACTTCTTCAGAAAGGACTCTTAAAACAAGCATTGTCGTGCCGGCGGGTGGGCCTACGCACGTGGGGACCGAAGAGCGGTCTGTGGGATTGGACAAGGTTTTGGGAGAATGGGCTGAATTGCATGGGAGGGATGGAGGGTAAGAAGGGGAAGAAGGGGAAGAAGGGGAGGAAGGAGAGGAAGGGGGAGAAAAGGAGTTGATTCTATTACGTGAAGGAGAAGAGGGTGAACAAGGGGATTTCGATATTGAAGATGACGAACGGGTGGATAGTGAGGACGATGCAGGCTGTGAAGAGTCGTCAGACTCGTTCGGGCTGCTGTACAGAGAGCATCGCGGCCGTGATGTCGACGACGATGCAACTACAATGGAGATGGAGACGCAGGTGGTCAGTGACCTTTCCGCAGACCCTGAAGATTATGAGGTTCAACCACTGACGGCTGCAGACGATCTCCAACACCGATGCCACGAGGTTTCCGTTATTGTGAGCCCGACTGAACAAAGTCAACATATGAGCATTGTCGAAGTTATCGGCGACATACTCGGCGACGAGCAGGTGTCCGCACAACGGTCTGCAATGCCTATTGTAGTTGACCCCCGCAACGTCACACCTTTCGTGCCCTCTGCCTCCGTTTTCTCACCACCAGCTCTCTGATACTGGCCGCCAACTTCGCAAGCGGCTGGGAGGACGAAGTCGGGGACCGGCAACATGTCACGTCCCCGAAGAAATCTAGGGGCGGCACTCAGGCTCTCGACGTGCTGGCCTTACCCGTGCCAACGTCACCGACGGAGGAGTGAAGGGATAAACCAGCTGGTAAGCGGTAATGAACGCCACGACGTACGCGCTCCCCGACAATGAACCTGACCAACTCAATTGAATGACGTTTTTTTCTTCTTGGAGAGAGTGGTGGTTTAAGCCCGCAGGGATCCAGACTTCCTATGTCGATGCATAATGTGGTTAGTCTCTGTGTGCCTGCTGTGGGAAAAAGTCCGCCGAAATAAGAACTTCGGGGAATGTTGGCCTTCCGCTTCTGTCTATGTATCCCCAACGGTCGCCGCGGGCATGACCACGACCGACGGTCGGGGCCGCGGGGCCGCGGCCATGACCGCCGCGGCCGCGGCTGAAATCGGCTC